ACTCATGAAATTTTATGGATCCATTAAAATTTTGCATTACTATTTTCAAGAAGGTGACATAACTTGCGTAAAAATGGAGCTTTCGGTGCAAAACTGTCGACACGCTGGCCTGAAAACAGTCTGCCTCACAAAAGGCAATAGCATGGCCAATAGAGAAAAAGCTTTTTTAAGGTTCAGCGGGGGCGGCGACAACGGCAGCGGTGGCAGCGATGATTGTCATAAGGCAAGAGCGTAACAAAACTCAGTATAACGACGCTGTTAGACGCTTGGTGAACAGAACGTAATAAGACGCGGTTCGGAAGGACAGAAGCACGAACAAAACCGTTAACGATGCGAGCGAACCGATCAGTCACGCACACACACAAAATACGTTTCCTTCGTGGGGGAGCGAGGACAAAAGGTACTTCCGGCTTGCTTCTTTTTGTCCCTATTCTAGGTCGGGGCTCTAGGACAGGAAGGAACTGGCCCATACAGCCGTCTTACATCTAGGCCGACTCGGTAAACGTCACTGCCATGTGACCTAGCACATCGAAAGCGGGCTATTATGCTCGTTTATGCGAACTGTGCGCGCTCATGTTCGTTCAAACGCCCACAAGACCTCGACAATAAAGGGGAAAAAGGCCTGTTTAACCTAATAGTTATATCGCCCTTCTAACTGGTCATATTTAATGCACCTTAGTAATGAGGTTTTACACACGAACGAAAGTTGGATAGGTGTTAGCAGAAAAGAAAGGTGTGAAGTGCAGACATTGTCACCCTACACAGGCGTCAAAAACAAGAGACACACCATAACTAGTGCTGTATAATAAAGATTTATAGTAAGGTATTCAGGGTTGCCTACCATGACAGCACCGGACAGGTGCTTCCCTTGCTGAAAAGAGGCCATCATTGTATAGTTTGCAGTAGACCTTAAAATTGCGTCTAATATATGACTCGCATAATGACGAGGCCACGTAAATATTGCCCTAAGACAAAGGTGCTACGAAATCAAAACCAAATCTACAATAAAGTAGACCCGTAGCTATTAGATGACAATGAAGGGCGTTCAGAGAAAGTTATAGGCAGGTAAGTCCACCAATAACAGTTCCCTTACTTGACAAAGGTTATTACAGACCCCGCCTGTGAGAAGCGGTCTGGGCTGAATGGTATGCGGTACGCCAGCAACTACGGGGGGTGGTATGGACATTTTCGACTATTTTGACTATTGGACAGTGATGAAACACGAGCTGTGCTGACTTATCTCCGTGACCAAAGGATTAGCTGTAGTAGTGCGTTTGAACTAGCCATAATTCCTCCAGATGCAGTGTTAGTAACGACTGCAACAACACAGGATGGTTGTCTGACGACGGCCAGTAAGCCCGAAACGGCCGGTTCAGGCATCCCTGTATTTTTATATATATGATTCTTATGTGACTGCTTGGAGAGATGAATACGCGGCCCCAAGGCGCGAGGAGACAATGAGTGTAGCAGACTCTGGTCGGTGATGGCTTGTACTACGAAAGTCAACGGTTCAGATCGCAACCACAGGGCCCTGCCAGAGAGTTGGACTTACAAACGGTCACTGACCAACCAATGCAGATTAGAGACTCAAGTCTCGCAAACCTGAAGTCGGCTACAAGTCGCTAACGACGGCTAATAAGACATCACAGTCTCCCTCGTCTTCACGTGTACCCCTCATCCAACGCAAAAGGATCCAAAGCAGGAACAAGTAAAAAGAATGATGGAGAGATTTCTTTCGTAATTCTACCATCTTGCCGTGTCACTGAACAATTTTTTTT